CCCTCTTTATTTTTAATTATTTTCGTTTTTTTTTTTTAATCACGTGTTTCACATAGATCATGAATACTCTTTTATTATTTAATGTTTTTTGCCTCTACATTACATCTCCTTAATTGATTTATAAGTAGACTTACTCATTTCCGTTCTACTTTCAATTTTCTTTTTCATTAATCTGATTAGAAGAAATTGATTTTGGTTTCCTTTAATCTCTTCTTTCACGCAGATCACGTATTCTCCAATATTACTTAGCATTTATTATCTCTATTTTATGCTATCTCCAGATTATTTCCATCCTCTTCCAATTAAACTTTTAGTTAATAATTCATAGAATTTATCTATAATACATAGTTCGTCCATTATATGCGTTTCCTGCGCTTTAGTTCATATGTTTCATTCAACCGTTACAGATGGCTCAACACAACAGCTCTCTCCCCTCTCCTCCCCCCATTGCTTGTATCATCTAAGTTTTCTCCCTATTTCTTCCTTTCCGTCACTCTATTTTGTATATATTGGTACACTTTCTCTTTTTTTTTTACATTATTTTAACATCTTAAAGTAGTCAGCATATTTTGATATATTTTAAAGTATTTCAATTTTTTATATATATATATATATATATATATATATATATATATATATATATATCAATTATTTCCTTATATAACTTCATGTTCCTTTTCTCTGTTTTATACTTTATTCTAAGATTAGCATTTTTAGTTCTTATATTATCTTATATTGATTATGCTTATTTCATTAGTCCGCACTTTGTTGCCGTTATTACTATTTATTTCTTTGTTATCTGATATTATAATTATTCCATCTACTTTCTTTTACCTTAATGTTCACTCCATCTACTTTATTTTACTTTTTCTAGCTACATTTTTTAGTCTACACCTTTCACCATTCTAATTTTAATGCTTTATTATTCAATGATTATGGTTTCTCATATCTGGACACAGTCCGGTACCTTGGTTTTTCCTAGACAGACGACTAACGTGGAATCCGCATACTAGACTGAAAAGACAGGAACTTAACCGACGTTATCGCCAGCTATATAGACTACTTAATGGAAAATCTAAACTTTCTATTGAAAACAAACTAGTGATCTACAAGACAATACTAAAACCAATCTGGACCTACGGACTAGAACTGTGGGGGACAACCAAATTTTCTAACATCAAACGCATTCAATCCTTGCAGTCCAAAGTCATCCGTACAATAGTCGATGCTCCCTTCTATGTCACCAATAAAACTCTGCGTAATGACCACATTATTCCATTCATTCTTGATCTTATCCCAGACAAATTCTCCAAATTTCATCAGAACCTTACCCATCACCCTAATCCCGTAGCACAATCCCTATCTAGCACCACTCATCCCTACAATCCTCCTCACAGGCTAAAACGGCAGTGGCCCCGTGACCTTTTGTAACATGTATATATTGGAGTGATGGCAATGGTCAGATTCTCCACTCAAGTCATGAGTGTCTGTAGTTGTAGCGCCCTTACTCAATCTCCGCTGGCTATTAATACCAGGGAAATGGTTGAGAAAGAAGCGCAGGGATCTACTGAAGCCTTGATTTTCCTCCACATGTAGGGGGATAAGTATTGTTCGGAGTTTCCATGGCCGACTGTAAATAGTGTAAATAGGTATTCCTGCATCTAAGATGTTTATTTTCATTACTTTTTTTTTAAGATAATTTTAATTTTATTTTATTCATTTGTTTTCATTATATTATTACCATTATTTATATTTTCTTCCTTTACTATGATATTTTATTTTGTTCTTTTATAGCTTTATATTATTTGAAATTAGCTTATTATTTTTTTTTAATTTATAAATATGGTGTGGATGTGCTCTAAGTACTCTATTATAAATGTCCTTTATTGAGACAGATTGTAATATTTATCAATAAACAAATAATCAAATAATAAAGTTTCTCATATCTATTGGCATCGCGTTCCTTTCTCAGCTCTTGTGAAGACCTGAACTTGGGGTCAAAACTTCGGCAAATGTAAAAATAAATATTATTATTTTATTTTTGTTTTTGCTATATTTTATTTTGACTGATCACCCCAACTATCCTTTTACCTCAATTATTCACTACAGTCAACCATCAACCCACAATTTAAAACATTAAATTTCATCCAATTATTCAGTTTTTTAATAGTACGTACTACTCATAAGTGATATAATAAAAGCAAGGCAAAATCACAATAATTATTTGTAAATAAATGTACGCAAAAATAGAGTAGTATAACAATCTAAATCGAAACTGTTTTGAATTATGTTAGTGATCTCACCACCTTTACAATATAATAACTTTTCCACCCTTGGTTCACCTATTTAGGTAGGGCTGAATCAATTAATACGTTTCGTTTAAACATTTTGTCGTGTTTATTTATAAGGTAGTTTTTAAAAATGATAACCCATACTTTATTTTTTTTCTTTTCTACAATTAATCTGATTTTTATCAGTAAATTATAACTAAAATTTAATGTGACATGAGGGTCGAATAACGGCGCTACTTCTCTACTGTTTCTCATTACTGTTAAGTCTTGTGGGATTGCCTAGACCATCCCCGTTGTAGAACTCATTGAAGCTACTTTTACATCCACCTACCTACAAATTTATTTATAATAAACTAGGGGGTTAGTACCTGAACAGGCCCATTTTACAAATTAAAAAACTGTTCATATAATTCCACTAATCCTTGCTCTAACTGTATTACTGTAATTTTCATCTATTCTATAGTTCAGACTACTTTTTTTTCAAAATAGTAAAATTAAAAAAAAAATAAAATAAAACAAATTTCAAGTTTTACCTCAGCATTTCAATTTGTTGAGATTAAAAAATAAAATATTACACAGTCTCTAAAAACTATTTTATATCATAGACAGAATCTCAACATTTTAATTTGTTGAGATTGGAAAATAAAATATGAATCAGTAAAACTGTTTTATATAATAGAAAATTTTTATTAATTAGAATATATTCTTAATTTATTTTATTTTATGTATTGCATACACTTTTTGATTATTGCTTATTTGTTATTTTGCTACTGTTTACAATATATTTTTTGTATATAGAGTGAGAATGTGATCCTTCCTATCTCAAATTCAATGTCCAAGTGACAGAATGTTGTAATATTCAATAAATAAATAGAACAAATAATTAAACGAATTGTAACTTATATATATTTACAGAATATGGTGAGGAAATCTATTGTAATACTGATTATTTTTTACTAGTTTTCAAAAGAAATACAAGTTTTGAGTTCCCTTACATACAAATGACCTGTCTCACAAAATGTTCTATATGGGTTTGCACACCCTAATGCAAAAATCAAAATTTGTATGAAACTGAAGTTATGTATTCAAGGTATATACCTATATATATGTGATGTTTCATCTTTTTTTTTTTTCTTTCTTTTTTTTTTACTGGAATTGGGTTTCTGTAAGAGAAAATTCATACAACGATTTCACGCGTTTTTATAATTTTATCAATAATGCAATTAAAAATTTTAATGCAAAATAGCTCTTATCGTACTGAAATAATCTTGAATGCCAAATTTAAAGGTCACTTCAAACATCATCTACAGCACCTTTAATAAGCTATATTTGATATAATTAATATTATCTCGTGGGTAGTAGAAAGAAAAAATAACCAAATGTGAACTATAAAACAATTTAATAGTTACCAAAGGGGAGATAAGGTAAATCATTTACAGATGTAATGTCGTAAAAGCTAATAAAAAGTGATGAAAAAATTATGACAGATAATTTCTGACATTATTTAATAGAAATTAAATGGAATTTCCAAAAATAAAAAAACAGAAACCTGTAAACAACATTACCCTCGATAACAGAATTAAATCATTAAATATTAATTGAATGGCATTCAGCAAATAGGGATCAATCCACCACAAAATAGGCACTCATGAGTTTGGTGGTTTTAAATGGCATTTCTTAACCATCGTCAATAGAATCCGAATACATGTTGATCATATGAAAATGAATTTTTTTTTTTTTTTTTTATTATTCTGGGACTGTTGTCCCTTTAGGACAAATTACAGATACAGAATAAATGCCTGTGTGGCCATACATAAAATTAATTATTTACATTTATTATTAAGATTTAGATTTTGAAAAAATAATAAAACAAAAAATATAACTATTACACTAAAAACATTCTGATACGTATAATACAAACTATATAATAAAATAAAATAGCATAAGTAAAGAAATGTAATGTATGTAATGTAAAGTATGTTGGTGTTCCATACACAATATCAGTTTATATTACCGTTTGGATCTTACAAACTAAAGAACATCCGAAATTTATATGTAAACAAAAAGGAACAAGAAAGAAAATATCGAGAAAAAGTGTGCTGCTCATCTGTGTTAAGTGGCTAATTCACATGAAATAGTAATAAAATTAACTATATTGATGAGACGGTAAGTTGTGCCATAAATTAGATAACACTTATTCCTCTCCCAGAGCTATTGTAAGCAAACGGCTCGGTCAATAACGACCGTAATTCATAGCACACTTTTTCCAATCAATACGAAATTTGCCTGAAAATTTTAATCGTTATAGGACTTAAAGAGGAAAAATATACATATAATCATCTCAAGTGCTGGAAAAATTATGAAAAAAAGCAGCCACAATGGTAGGTATATTGAATTAAAATAGAAAATACCGCATCAACGAGAAATAAATAAACTACAGAACGCTTTATGACCAATCAATGAAAAACAAATACAATCTTCGAATTATTTGAGATAATGAAGTAGAGAATAAATACAAATTATAACTATAAAATACCCCCACTTACTCATAAGATGATTTCATACTTCTTCTAGTTTGACTGTGCTCATATTTGAAACATACATATTTATTTCGTATGGATCTTTATTTTCAATTGGTAGTCCTTAAAACTACTTAACCATTTAAAAACTTATCTTGAAGGTGCGATTTAAGATAAAAAAAATACTTACTTTCTCATATCCTTCAGTGAAGACCTCCTGCTGGTCGGTATGGCGTTGATAGGAGGTACCATCTCATGGGTCCTGAAGACTGACCTGGACTTACTCCGTGCAAACTCGTGGCGGAGACATCTCCTCGACTTCTTCTGGCCATTGCTTTCGTCGCCTCCCTGAGGACTCACCGAACCTCTTCGGGCGTAATCCTGTATTGTGAGAAACCCATGAGCCACCAACCAAGCATTGATTGCTCCGATGTCTGTTTTACGTAGAAAGTAATCCTGAAACAATTGGTTAAAAATTTATTAATAAAGTCGATTAAAATGAATTTAAAATATAGGGATCTCTTGCAGTCCTGCTTTTCCTTCTATAGTTTTAACGGACAGGACCCTGGCTTGGGGTTCTCTGCCTAATTGTATATAGGTATGACTGCGTTTTTGTTTTTTATTTACTTACGTTTAGGTTATTTCATTTTTATTGTACATATTTTTTATTATTATTTTACTTTTGTAATTTTTTTTTATTTTCTGTATATATGGTGTGAATTTGTTCATGTATCACTATAATTGTTGTCCCCGTGACAGATTTTATATATATTTCTAAATAGTTATATATTTCTAAATAAATAAATGAAAAATATATTCAAAAGAAAAAAAAAAAAAAAAAAAGAGCTATATCAAGAGATTATTTTAGAAATCTTTCGGAAACTTTTTTAGAAATTATTAGATTCTCTAGAACTTTTATAAATGGGAAACATATTTAAAAGACACATCAAACGAAACCTGCAAAAAGCACTAAAGATTCCAAGAGATTCGATGTAGAGATATAAAAAAAATTATAAATAAGAATCCATTAAACAATTAATTAATATTTATTTTAAAAAAACTCATTATAAGTTTTGAATTATCTGATTTATCGACACTGCGAAAGAAAGTTGTGGGGAGAGGGGCGAGCCTCCTATGTTGAATTAGAATTGAAAAGAAATCAATCTTTACCGATAATTTGTTTCTCCTAATCCAAATGAAGATTATTTGTCTCTAATTTGATGAACATTGAACAATGTCTTTGATTTTAATCGTTTAATAAACAAACAGGCAGACAAAATGCTCACTATGATCGCAACGATATGGTCACTATATCACTTACTTGGAACAAATCTGGATGGGCATCGAGCCATTCCTCTACTTCACTCCACCGTAACTGCGTCATCCTTTAGCCACGTGGCCAGACACACTTCTCCATGTTAAACCTGAAACAGATTTAAGAAAAAGTTTACATTGAGAAAAAAAGATTATTTATACAGGATATAATGGTTTAGTAATTATTACTGTATTATAACTTTATATTAGATATAAAGTGATATTGAAAAGTATCAACTCACATTGCAAACAAATACATAATATTGAAGTTGAAGTTAAACCTGTCAATGTGATCTGACTTTGTCAAAAGAATGTTTTAAATCAAGAGCTATGGATCGATTTAATATAAATAAAATCACTAATATCGTCTGGAGATTTATAGTTTAATGCACAAGAAATAATTTTTAATGTTTTGAAAAATGTTTTTTTTTTTAAATTGATATCTATATTAAAAATAAATGTAGTTTTGAAAATATGATGATTTGGGCGGCTTATGTTGAAACATTCTATTAAATATTTAATGTTGGAAAGTGTTCTATATACCTATTCTTTCCGGATTATCGTGATTACTTTGAAACGAAAGGTCATGAGTAAGTGTTTTAGTGAGTTGTGTGAAAATCAAAATCAATACATCCTTAAATCAAGAAATGAGTTCTTTCATTCAGCTCTTTTTTAGTCGCCTCCTATTAAGCATGTCGGTTATAAGTCTGTTGTTGAGTCCATGTAGTTTAATATGAAACCGGGAGTAAAGATACATTTAGATCTAAATGTAAACTGGTGTTACAAAAGGTCTAAGTATATTCTCAGGTAGATAAAATTTTTATAAAGTAAAGGTTTTCCTTAGAATGTGTGGAGGTAATAGTTATTTAACAATTTCTAGGTGCTTTTTACGAGAATTCTCTACTCTTTGAAGTAGTTCCTTGAAATCAGGTTAAAAATAAAGAAAAAAAATGCAATGTATAATTAGTATTTGATATTTATACGGTATGCAATATATTTTATTCCAAATACGAAAATAATCTGTCATCTAAGGCCAGCATAGCTTCCTCACCGTATCCATTGGCTAAAAAATATCTTTATCACAACTTCTCAAATTTTTCATATGAAAACAAAATCTCTGGGAGAAGCCTTTTTCGGAAATTCAGTGATCCCTCAACATATGTGGGTTTGATATCCACGAGTTTTGTTCATTAGCGAATACTCAAATGTGAAAGAGTTCCATATTTACAGATCGCATATTCTCATAGTTTGTGAAATGTCTAAACCAACCTTAAGATGCCAAAATAAGACAGTGTAGGCATAGCTGTGCCAATCCACCGATGACTACAATAAATTAAAAAGTATTGTGAAAAAGAATATTAATTAATGGGTTATTTTTCTTGGTCCAACATTAGAAGAGCAAAAAGGACGTGGGACTCGCATATAACAAAATTAGATTTGTTTTATTTCTTAATATTAAGATTTCTAAATATTCTAAATATACTGAATATAATAATAAGATTAACAATTCTAAATCTAAGATAAAGAATTATAAATCTAAGATTAAGAATTCTAAATTCACTTCTTTCGAAATTTTCAAAACTAAAATTTGACAGAAATTGAATACACATAATTACTTACTAAAACCTATTTGGACTTAGGCATCACAGATATTTGGAACAGCTAAAATGACTCACATAAAAAAAACTTCATAACTTTCAAGCAAAAAAATTCTCGACAATTACAAAAACACCTTGGTACTTTAGCAACATAATCTTTTATACTGACCTCCATATGCCAACTGTTAACGAACACATACGAACTCATTACAAACGATTCCACGACAACTTACAAGCACATCTAGTCCGTGGTACAGACCCCTTTTTATCGAATTAACGACATTCGCCTGAAACTTTGTAAATAGTTTCATCTCATCGAAACCTAGAACTATTTTATTTGAATTGGACTCTTGAATTGAATTGAAACACTTGGAATTGGGGCGTTTTCAATCTTAAGGGGACCAAACTTTGTCTATTTAATTAGATAATAAAAAATCGTAAATACCCATTTGCTTTCTACTTGGATTGTAAGATAATTTGATCACAAACTCGAGAAAAAAGGAAGCCTTCAAAAATATTGAGCCATTCGCCATGACCTACACCCATATATTTTCTAACGAGGTTATAAATATATTAGATAAATAGGTTGGAGGTTATAAATAGATTGGAGCTCACCATGACCGTCATTTTAGAAGACTGTCTTCTCTCCACGAGAGCTTTAACTTTTAGGAACTTTGAGAATCTTCTAAAAGATACTGGAAGATAGGAACATAAGTTTAGATAAAATAACTGCATTACTTAAAATAAATATATTAGATATTAAAAACAATAGCATTAAACAAAAATATTAATATTTTTAAAACAGAAGTATACTAATAATTCTAATACCGTAATCTCTTGTTTTGTCAACAAACCTAATCTAAATGTGAGCATATCTGTACACCGGAGGTAAATAACACCATGTCCATTTTTATTTTTGTTAAGGAGAGCCAATTTTCCTTACTTTTGAGCTATTAAAATTTTTTTCATATTTACTGAATCATTTAAGTAAAAAATGGACATTGTATTCTTTATCTCTAGGGCACAGATTTATAAAAAAAACAACTAAGGTGTGTGTTTTAGACCACATGATAGAAGTGAATCAACAAGGCGAAATTAATAACATGAAATACAAATTATAAATAAGAGCTCGATATTTTTCTCGCTTACTGTATACAGGTCCGAATTTTAGTTTATGAGATTCTTTAATCGACATCTTTCATAAAACACGATATCATTTGGTTTTCGACAGTATTTTTTTCCTTTTCGTCACTCAAACACCGCATCGCGTTAAGGTAAAATTTTGAATAATAGACCATTATAGAGTGGATGAAATGCTGAACAATTGCCTTTCTTAGTGCATGCAGGTCTGATTTTGAATTTGTGAGATATTTGAATCGATATATTCAATAAAACTCGTGATCATTTGGTATTCGACACTATTTTTTTCCTTTTCACTTCTCTAACACGGTATCGCGTTAAGATACATTTTTGAATGATAAGCCATTACAGAGATGATGATGAGATGTTCCGGTTTTTAGGTTCTCAGATATTTTAATTCTCATGGAAAAACACTTCAATTAGCCGTCTCCCGCCGACTTTACCCGAGCGTTATACATCGGAGATCTGACGACTCAATCTAATTCACTCTCCACAAAAAAAGTGTGTCACGCGCCTAAAAAGGATTTTATTTCAAAAACTGAAATCATCCATATGATTATTCCTAAGTATTGTAAAACCATGAGGAATGGTTCATACTACTTATCTTTGTGTGTGAATAGTTTAGAAAAATGTATAATACGAATTAATGTATTAAACGCAATTATAATTTAATGAGAAATACAGTTTTTTCCTTGATAAACCTTGAAAAACTTGAAATCAAGGTTTTGAAAATTTATAAAAACTTTAATTTATAACAAAATAAAAATATTTAATCAAGAAAATCACGGGTGCTGAATAAACTTCTTTTTTAACGACAGCATTAAAATATTCTACTTCTTATTAATTAATATTTTTAATAAAAAAGAAATGAGTTCGAGAGAATGGAGTAAAAAAGAAATTCATGTATTCACAGGTAAGTAATAAAAAAGTCGCCAAATGGGCTAAAACTACCACCGTGCTCCCAACTCATTAACTAAGAAGCCCTACTTGGGCATAAAGCTTTAATTAAATTTTTATTGTAATTATTACTTCGCTTGTAAGGACCAAAGTGAGTCTGGATCCATTAAATGAGAAAATCACTGTGAAACTTTCCATTCAAAGTAGCCATCTCCTTTAATATTTACAACACCCAATTTAAGTATTATTTATTTTTTTTATAACGCATTAAATACTTAAAAAGTAAAAATAAAAAAAAATAAAAAAAACAGCATTATAATGCCATGTAAAGTACTCTTCTTGAGGGTGAGTTTATATAAAAAAAAATAAGATACCAAATAATTATTTAAGATACGAATCTCTTTGAATGCGGTATCGTTAAAAAAAATACATTTATAACTGTAAAATATTTTGTATTTTTTTCTAATAAGTGCATTATAAAATGACAAATTTACAAGTTATGATCATTGCATACATGGTAAGTTAAATTGTAAGTGGTCATGAGAATTTTTCTGTCCTACTGAAAAAACAGTTTCTGAAATCCAACTATAACATTTTAATGAAAACATATTTTGTAATAAATTAAAAGGTTTTTTGAATAATTTATAAAATTTATCGATGAGAATGAATTAATTCTCATAGAACTTCACTAGTCCTTACTGCTTAATAGTTCTAGAACTTTAAGAGATCCTCAAATTGAAACTCCGTACGTAGAATGTAAACTTGAAGATTGCTGTTTCAGAACTCAGTTCTCTAAAGTTCACTTCAGGATGTTCAAGAGAAGCAACACTTCCTCGTATGGAACACAACATAAAGAATGACTTCGTATCACTCGACAAACTTTAGAGACTTGAGTTAACTAAGCACTCTAACTATTCAAGCGATGTAACAAGTTTGAATCATCTTATAAAACATCGGACGCTATAAACTTGGTCTTTACCAATTAGGTTCGGTGCATATTAATTTTTCTTAAGAATTCTTTGAGATTCTATTGAAATATAAAGAATAAATAAGAAAAAGTTTAATAAATTTTATTGTTTATTTTTTTAACTTTAATTTTTATTTATTCATGCTTATCATGATGGTAATGACAACCAGTGAATATGAGATCGGTTACTAAATTTAATGTCATGAAAGGCATGAGGAGGAGCAGTGCCCAGCGGCACTTCCTCTGTGGTGATATCTACTTTAGGCGAGGAGGTCCCTCATCCAGCTCCTCTTCAGCCTCCTACGGACGTTACCTGGCATTTGTGTAGTGGCCATGTCAATGATTAGTGTGTTCGGATGTCCTTATAAATTGTCGTGGAATCGTTTGTAATGAGTTCGTATGTAAACATTCGGCATATGGAGGTCAGTACGTAAAGTTATGCTGCTAACCTACCAAGTCGCTTTTGTGATTGTCCTGAATGTTTTTGCTTGAAAGATTT